CATTTCTGATGATCTGTCCAGAAAGTACCCAGCCATGTAATACAAAAAATAGGGACGTTTATTGAAGAAGATACAGGAAACATTGTACGTAGGGCAATGATGCCTCACTCCTCACCAAAGTAGGCACCTTGGGGCAGTTCTCCCAGTTGCCATCCGCTGCCCCATAGTATTTTTCTGAATCTCACAGACCGTCAGAAATCTCTTCCCTTCAAGGGTGCTTTTAGTTTTGGAAAAAGCCAGAAATCTTCAGGGTGCCAAATCTGGGCAGTAGGGGGTTGAGTCACCTGGGTGATTTGATGTTTCACCAAGGATCTCTGCAGGAGACATGGTGCACAAGTGGGTGCATTGTCGTGATGAAGCTGCCAATCGCCAGTTGCCCATGGCTGCAGCCTTCTAAATCGTGAATAGTTTCAAGCCTAATGCAAAATTTGATGCAGGTCCGTTGCTCTCCTTGCTCAGTCATTTTGAATGCTACAGCCACAGAGTACACATGCTCACTCAACGGCATCTCCTGCCCCCACCGACTAGTACAGTGAGGTCATCACTGCTCATGCATATGCATTCTAGTCCATTCTCCTTGGCTGCCAGATTACATTGATGTCAGGCAAACCGTTCTTGTTGTATTAACAATGGCTGGACTTTTTCCGGACAGACCTCTGTATACATATAAATATATATAGATGATGAAAATAACTAAATTTGTATTTTCTGCTTTCCTAGATGAAAGGTAGCTTACTATTCACAGTTACTTATTTTGTTTTTTAACTTTGTCAGTGTATACTCAAGATCATTTCACAGCAGTTTGTAGATAACTCACTCTTACAGATGCATAGTGCTTCATTATAAGGATGTATATTAATTGATTTAATTAGTCTTCTATTGTAAGACTGCAGTCAGTCTTTTGCTGGTACTGCTAGCTTTATGCATATATCTTTTCTATTTTGCCAGCTTATCTTTGGGATAAAACTCTGAAAGTAGGCATTCTGGATCATAGGTTTAATGAATATGTCATATTGCTAGGTGTTAAATTTTCCTCCATGGGATTTGTGCCATTTTACATTTCCAGAAGTGCAAATGCTTTCACATTCTATGACTCAGTTATCCTTTAAGGTGTAGATAGATGAATTAGAAGAATATAGGACAGAAGAAAGTATCATAAATAGTTACTGATAAAATGTCATTTTTTTTATTGTTCTGTTACAGTCGTCCCAGTTGTCCCCTGCTGCTCTCCCCAGCTTGCACCCCCCAACACGCCCACAGCCAGTCCCCACTCTGTTGTCCCTGTCCATGGGTCATTTGTACCTGTTCATTGATTAGACGCTTCCCCTCCTTTCCACCCTTATCCCCCTCCTCCCTCCCCTCAGGCGGTTGCTGTCAGTCTCTTCCTTGTTTCCATGCCTCTGATTCTCTTTTGCTTGTTTGTTTTGTTCATTAGTTTCTTCTTATAGGTGAGATCATATGGTATTTGTCTTTCACCACCTGGCTTATTTCACTTAGCACAATACTCTCCAGTTCCATCCATGCTGTCGAAAAAGGTAGGAGCTCCTTTTTTCTTTCTGCTGCATAGTATTCCATTGTGTAAATGTACCACAGTTTTTTGATTCACCCATTTACTGATGGTCCCTTAAGGCTGTTTCCAGCACTTGGCTATTGTAAATAATGCTGCTATGATTATAGAGGTGCCTACATTTCTTTTGAATTGGTGTTTCTGGATTCTTAGGGTATATTCACAGCAGTGGAATAGCTGAGTCAAAAGGCAGTTCCATTTTTAGTTTTTTGAAGAAATTCCATACTGTTTTCCACAGTGGCTGCACCAGTCTGCATTCCCACCAACAGTGTACTAGGGTTCCCTTTTCTACGCATCCTCGCCAGCACTTGTTTGTAGATTCGTTAATGATGGCTGTCCTGACCAGTGTGAGGTGGACAACTAGTGATGTTGAGCATCCTTTCATATGCCTATGGGTCCTCTGTATGTCCTCCTTGGAGAAGTGTCTGTTCATGTCCTTTGCCTATTTTTTAATTGGGTTTAAATCAAAAATCAAATTTGATATAGTCCTATTCGTTTAGTCTTTCCTTTATTTCCCTTGCCCTAGAGGATATATCAGCAAAAATATTGTTGCGTGGAATATCTGAAATTTTGTTGCCTATGTTTTCCTCTAGGACTTTTATGGTGTCATGGCTTATGTTTACGTCTTTTATCCTTTGAGTTTATGTTTGTGTATGGCGTAAGTTGGTGGTCTAGTTTCATTTTTTTGCATGTACCATTCCAGTTCTCCCAACACCATTTGTTGTAGAGGCTATTTTTACTCTGTTTTATGCTCCTGCCCCCTTTGTCAAATATTAATTGACCATAGAGACATGGGTTTACTGTATTTTGCTATGTATAATGTGCACTTTTTTGCCCAAACTTTTGAGGGAAAAATAAGGGTACACATTATACATGGGTATAGTGATCACATACAATAGGTATAATAATGGGTACAATAATCCTGTGTATAATGCATATAAAAACATGGGTGCACATTATATATGACAAAATACGGTATTTCTGGGCTCTTTACTCTGTTCCATTGATCTATGTATCTGTTCTTTTGCTAGTAACAGACTGTTTTGATTACAGTGGCCTTGTAATATAGTTTGATATCAGGTATTGTGATCCCTGCTACCTTGTTCATATTTCTCAAGATTGTGGAGGCTACTCAGCGTTGTTTTTGGTTCCATATAAATTTTTGAAATATTTGTTCTAAATCTGTGAAGTCATTCGTATGTTAATAGGGATCACGTTGAACGTATAGATTGCTTTGGGTAGTATGGACATTTTAATGATGTTGATTCTTCCCATCCATGAACATGGCATTTGCTTCCATTTATTTGTATCTTCCTTAATTTCTTTCTTCAGTGTTCTATAGTTTTCCGAGTACAGGTCTTTTACCTCCTTGGTTAAGTTTATTCTTCAAAGTTTAATAAAAATCCTATTTACTATCTTAAAGTGAATTCACTAGTAAACTATATTCAAATATAAATGAAATATTCAGGGTTAGATATTTGCTTGGTATATATTTGTGTATGTATTATAAGAATGAAAAATATTCTCTTTCATAAAAAATAATAAATTATAATTGAGTATTTAACACTATATACTTCTTGTTAATATGGTCTTTCATTTGGCCTAGTGAGTATTTTGGGTGAAAATAGGACTAGTTTTTTTTTTTTCTTTTTTTTTTTGAGGACTGAAATTCTATTTGCCACAATAAAGAGGACAATAATGGGATTTGAAATTTGACATTTGTCGATGTAGTAGTTATAGTTTTGATTGCCTATATATATTCTTGAAGGTCTCTGACATGTAATCTGTAATTTTGAGAGGATATGTAAATATTTAGTCAACTCTCTTTTTTCCCAACTTAATGGCAACCTTTGTTATTCTTTACTTGGCTTATTGCTTGTTTATTTATTTATTTAGAGAGGAAGGGAGGGAGAAAGAGAAGGAGAGAAACATTGATGTGAGAAACATCCATTGGTTCATCTTGTACTTCCTCCAACCTCGTACCAAACCTTGCAACTGAGGCACATGCCCTGACCGGGAATCGAACCTGGTACCTTTCGGTCTGTGAGACGATGCTGAGCTGAGCCACACTGGGCAGGGCTTGGCTTATTTTTAACACTTTCTATTAAGAATATGACAGAGGAAAAATTTTCAGCTTAATAAATGATTTTTGTAATATTTAATGAAATTTAGGCCAACTTTGGTGCTTGTGTTCAGTAATTTGGGGAAGCTCTGGGAAGGCATTATGATTATCCAAGTACTATTGTAGAAGGAAAGAATTGGAAAGAGGTTGGGTTCGTATAATCAAAGGCCTTCAATTTCAAGCGAATAAGTTTGGACTTTATTCTGTTAGATAGGGGGAAATCAGTAAAGGATTTATAAAACTTCTTTTAGATTCTTCAAGTGGAAAATTTAAGTGGTACACCTTTTAGTTTTCATGTGAACTCTGTGAAGTAATTGTATAGTTACGGGAAATATTTTTTGCTTATGGAGAAACTGAAGCATACATGTTACTGTTAGCGGCTGACTATGATAACAAATGTTTATTGAGGCCATACTCTGTGTCAGATACATAGCACACTGCCAAATATTTCACGTGGCTTGTCTCCCTTAATCCTCAGAGCAACTTGGAGAAGGAAGGAAATACTGCTATCCCCATTCTCATCTCATCAGAGGGGAAATTTAAGGCTTAGAGAAATGTAGTGCATTATCATGGATTGGATCCTAGGCCTAGAAAGGACATTTTTGGGATAATCAGTGAAATTTTATTGGAGCCTGTTGCTTAAATGGTAATACTGATCAATATTAACTTTCTGATTTTGATGATGGTTTTATGGTTAGAGAGGAGATTGTCCTTGTACTTAGGATATGTATACTGAGATGTTAAGGGATAACGGACATGATGTCCAAAGCCTGTTCTTCAATGGTTCCAAAATGTTAACAGTTTCATAATCTTTGTGAAAGGTTTGTTAGAGCTCAGCAGCTTTTCTGTAAATTAGAAAGTATTTCAAAATACAAAACAAAAGGAAAAACACTGACTCATCCAAAGTCACATAGTCAGTATGAAGCAGAACAGAACAGATAGGTAGGTCTATCTCATGCTAAATGCATATGTATTTACTGCCTCTTCTAATTCTAACCAATGTCACATGATGACAAAGTTACAAATATCAAGCAGACTTTCATTTATTCCTTATTGTTATTTATGACTCACTTGAACAGTATTAGTATCACTCACCAGTTTATTCCTAGTCAGACTATTTGCCTTTTGTAGTGTGTATACTCTGAGGTCACTTAATGAATGTTAAGTAATTGTTATTTTTTTCTCTTTGCTGTCTCTCAGTGTAAGTTTATATTTTATAATGGACTGTTAAACACATTTTATAGTTACCCATTGTAATTTAATTTTAAACAGCACTATCTCAAAAGTACCTGCTTTTTGTTTTAACAATAGGTTATCCTATGATGAGGCATTTGCTATGGCTAATGACCCCTTGGAAGGCTTCCATGAAGTAAACCTTGCCTCACCTACTTCTCCGGACCTTCTTGGCGTGTGTGAGTCGGTCGCCCACGAGCAGACTACCTCACCAGGTGTCATCTACCGGCCTCTCCCTTCATCTTTGTGCTCTGCCCCTATCCAGGCCAATGCCTTAGATGTATCTGACCTTCCTACACAACCTGTATATTCATCCCCCAGACGTTTAAATTGTACGGAAATATCTAGTATCAGGTAAGAAATCATCAACGTGCTTATTATGGAGTAGTGTATTAAACGAATGGACAGTTTGCTTGGTTGCCCTTTTTTAAGTTTTAATGTTTTAGAAAATTGAATCATGTCGGCATGTCCATGAACAACAATACATGTTAATGCTTGACAGCAAGGGTCAGCAAACTTTTTATATAAAAAGCCAGATAGTAAATATTTTAGGCTTTGTGGGCTATGCAGTCTCTGTTGCAACTACTCAACTCTGCTCTTAAAGTGCAAAGGCAACCATAGATGGTATGTAAAGGAATAAGCTCCAGTGAACTTTATATATGGATACTGAGCTTTAAATTTCATATAATTTTCTCAGGCCACAAAATATTATTTTGATTTTTCTCAACCATTTGAAAATGTAAAAATAATTCTCGGCTTGAGTATCTTATAAAAACAAGCGGCAGGCTGCATTTAGCTTGTTCAGTGTGCTGACCCCGGTTCTAGAGTAGCACTATGCTATAGAACTTTCTCTAATGATGGAAATGTTCTGTTTCTGTGCTAATGACGATCCACATGTGGCTATTAAGGTCTTAAAATGTTAGCTTTCACTGAAGGCATGCTATTCATTAAATACAGTGGCTACCAAATTGGATAGACCTGTATGTTTATGGCTGGAGTATTTCTAGGCGTGTTTATGCCAGTCGTATCTGAGCATATGCTGATGTTTTCTGAACTCTCCTTTGTAGCATCCATGTTACAGACCCAGCACCTAGTTCTACCTCGGGAGTAACAGCGGGGTTAACGAGATTAACTACGAGAAAGGACAGCTGCAGTGCTGAGAGGGCGTTTCTGCAGGGCGCCACTGTAGCAGATGCTTGTGATGGCAGTGACGATATTTTCGGGTTGAGTACCGACAGTCTGTCCCGTTTACGAAGCCCGTCTGTTTTGGAAGTCAGAGAAAAGGGCTATGAAAGATTAAAAGAAGAACTTGCAAAAGCTCAGAGGGTAAGCCAAAGGATATTTTATTCTTCCATACTTTATACTTGAAATTAATGTTTTTCCATGAAGCGGGGTAACTCAAATGAAATCCGTATGGTTCTACGCTTATCCTTTACCTGTGCACAGCCTCAGCTCCTATTGGGCAGCATTTAGGAATCTGGGAAGTTGATGAAGTAGTAAAGAATTTCATCTCAGTGTACTAACTGGAAAAATGAGATCCCAGAACTCTTTTACTCTCTACGTAGCCTGCTCCCGGTCTTACATTACCTGTAATGTGCATTTGGTGGGTTTTGTTGCCTGTGCCAGTTTTTCCCTTCTTACATGTGATTGACTTTAAGGTCATTTACTTGATGCCATTCAAGTCCGAGTCATTTTGTCTTGAGGAATTGTTTTAGTAATATAACCTCTGTCTTGTAGCTGGGTTTGAATATTTTTTGTGCCTTACCTTGGAAAATTTTCTTTTTCTGGTAATTTGTCTTATTTTCCACTTGGTTGTCTTTAAAATTTCTGCTATTTATTCTCAAACTTGTAGCCATATAGTCTTCTTTTTCTGAGACTAATTAAATTTCATAGGGAAATTTATAGCACTGAATATTCATAATTAGAAAAAAGGAAAAGTTTCCAGTCAACAACCTAAGTGTGCACTGTAAGAATGAGAAAATAGAAAAACCAGAGTAAGCAGAAGGAAGGAAATAATAAGAAGCAAAAATCAATGAAATTGACAACAAAAAAACTAGAGAAAATGAATGAAACAAAGTGGTGGTTTTTTAAAAAGATCAGTAAAATTGACAGACCTCTATCAAGATTGTCCAAAAAATGACAGAAGTAGATTATATTCAATAGCAGGGATAAAATAGGCTGTCATTATAAACCCTGCAGGTATAAAAAATGCAATACAGGACTAATATGAACAACTCTATATAAATTTGACAACCTAGATGAAATGGACCAATTTACATTTAGATACTTCAGAAGATAGGACAAGCATTATATAGGAGTAATTTCCAGCATATTATGACATTACAAAACCACATATTTCCACCCCATCCCTACTCCACTTGTCAGTCAAGAGCATAACACTGATTTTTGTATCCCCAGCACCTGATGTAATATGGTACAACGATACATGTTTCTTTATAAATGCTGTAATGAATTGCTTATGGGGAAACACCCATGCAGATATGTTAAAACATTTTGGCTAAATATATTTTATCAGGAAGGAATACTAACAGCCTTTTACGTCTTTTCCCAAGGAGAAGGGGTATTCTGAGACGTGATTGTGTTTGTCTTCTGCCATCTGGCTTAGACTCTGCTGTCTTAATACACAGCGTTAAGTGAAATCGCAGTTCATACAGAGGCAAACTACTGAGCATATATATTCATCTTTGAAAATGCACTGTGGTTACTTATTGATCAGAACAGATTGCTAATTTCTGAGCTGAAGTTGGTAATTTCTTTTGAAATCTTTAATTTGTTGTATTTAGAGGTACTGTTGGGGTAATTGAAATAATAATGACATGTGAACACATATGAGTGGTGAATTTTATTATGAAGAGTACAAGATAGTGCAATATTAATACTTACTCCCCTGAATTGTGGCAGTTTGTGAGTCAAAATTAAGTCAACAGCTATTCTCAAGAGGCCCGATAGTTATCCTTTTTCCATCTTTTTACTTCTAAGCTATTTTTGTCTTCCCATGTAGCTGTGATTTCCAGTGCTCTTCATTCCTTCATGTAGATCCAGATTTCCATCTTATATCATTTTATTCTTACTTGAAGGACATCCTTTAAAGTTTTGTGGTGTGTTTGCAGATGATAAATTATTTTTAGCTGTTGTATATCTGAATAGGTCTTTCTTTCACCTTTTTTTTGAAAGATATTTTCAGTCTGTAAGGAATTTTAGATCAACAGTCTTTTCTTTTAGTACTTTAAAGATACTCCAATATCTTCTAGCTTGCATTGTGTCTCACAAAAGTCAGCTGTTATCCTTACCTTTGTTGCTCTGCAGGAGGTGAGCATTTCTTTTTATCACTGGCGGTAAGCAGTTTGGTTATGATGTACTTTGGTGTGGTTTTCTTCAGGTTTCTTGTGCTTGGGACTTGTTGAGCTTTTTGAACCCATAGGTTAATTTTCATAGAATTTGGAAAACTTTGGCCATTATTTCTTCAAAAGCACTCCTCCTTCAAGAGTCCTTTTACATGAACATTGGACTACTTAAAGTTGTCTCACAGCTAACTGAAACTCTATGCATTTTTTTAAATCTTTTTTCCCCTCTCTTTCATTGTGGAGAAAATGAAAGTGTCTACTCTGCTGATCCTTTTCTTTGCTCTATTCAACATGTTTAGTCTTTCCTCTAGCTTCTTGAACGTATGAAATTTAGTTAAATAACTATTTTAATCTTTGTCTAATAATACTTCTCTCTGGGTGATAAGCTGGGGCAAATCATAGAGGTCATTTTATTTTCTGTCTTATCTGGAAGATTGCTGCTTTGTTGCCTGATGTCCATTGCCTTAAATATCTGTGTTTCATGTATTTTTTCCAGGTGTTTAGTTGTGTCAGGGGTGGGGGGTACAGGGCGTAAATATGATCCCTGTTACTTTGTCTTGATTGGGAGAGAAAGTTCTGTTTCTTTATTCTGTTCCCACACAGAAACAAACACACACATGCTTCATTAATTTTGAGCTTCATGAGGATAAGAACTGCGTCTGTTATTGCTCATGATTATATCTTGAGCACGTACTGGGTTTCCAATGCATTTTGTTGACTAAATGAATATATACATGTGTATGCAGTTGCATGTGTGTCTACTCATACAACAATGCGTAATATGCTAGTTAGGAACATACTAGCTCTTGTAAGCAACCCCTAAATTTTATTGACTTAACCTAATAGAAGTTTATTTTTATTCTTTTAACACTTCAAAGCCGATGCTTCTGGTTGATAGGCAGTTCTTTGTGAATGAAATAATTTACAAATCTGTGTTTCTTCTGTCTTGGATCTTTGTAGTCTTTTAGAGTGTTATTTTTATCTGTTCTTAACCACTGGGATGAAGGGAAGAGAAAACTTGGGAGAAGGCACGCCTGCTTCTAAAAGGCCTTGAGTTAGAAGTGATAAACATGACTGATAATCACATTCTTTTGGTGTGAAAAGTTACCTGCTGCTACCCAAGTAGGTAACCATGTGGTGGGCTGGGCAGCCACTTTTCCAGCAACAAACCCACACTGTGTGTAGGGGTTTGCCTTACACACATGATCATAGACTTTCAGGTATGAGGATGTCAGAGGTGGTGATGTAGTCTTTCACCTGTTTGCCTTCCGCAGGTCGTGGGCAGTTTTGTTGGAATTCTGAGGCAGAAATTTGGCTTTAGTTTATCTTTATTAAAATATAGTGTCTCAGATTCTGCTGAATCAAAATGATTGTGTTGAGGCTTCAGAATATGCATTTTCACAAAGCTCTCCTGTTGATTCTTACATTTCCTAATGTGTGAGACCTACTTGTATAAGGAGTTACTTTTCATTTTTTAAGTATTCTTTCCTAAAGAGAATAAAATAACTTGGAAAATAAAATCCAGTGGGATAGCTTGCAGCCAGAGAAAGTCACTCAAAAACACATACCTGTAGCAGATCCATGTTCAACACAGCCCTACCAACTGTGGCTAAGGACGTTTATAAACATTTACTGTGTTCTTCATAAACAAATATTACTTGAGTAACCGAGGTACTTACAACATTGTATGAGGCCCTGCAGAGGGAAAAAATAAAACTTTTTTGACCCTGTCCTTAAGGTGTTTCTTGGTGGAGAGAAAAGACATGTATACATGGTAATGTTTCACTCATTCTGAGTTGTATGTTTTTTTCTATTTTAAAGTCTCTGATCAGAAACAGTGTGAGTTTTAAAATTGCTCTCACCTAGGCAACAATCATGACAATTGTCACTGAGTACTTGTGCATGAACTTGGTTATAGCTGTTCATGTGTGATTAATTCAGTTGAATTAAGTGAGTTGGGTGCTATATTTGTTGGACTTAATTACTTGGTTAAATGTCTTCAAAATAATCTTATTATGACAAAAAGAAAGGTACAAAAGAGAAGAAGTCTGGCATGATAAAAGTCTGTGTCTTCATCAGTTTAAAAGAATTCTTTCTGTAAGTGTAAAATGAAAATTCTAGGCAAAAAAGCATTGTATCATAGTTTCATTGACAGCAATTTTTTTCCTTGATGTATGAAATGTTTATCTAAAAAATGATGTCTTAAATTTGATGAAGTACACTTGATCAAGGGCTCTGACACTTTTAAATATCTCTAATTTCTTTTCTCTGGTATTACCACCCTAAATCTGTATCTCTTGCCTAAAGTATTGCAATGATCAACTGTTTGCCTTGTCTCCAGTCTTTTTTTTTTTTTTTTTAACCTAGCCACACCTTGCAAGTTATCATTTTGAATTGCAAATCTGATTGTCACTATTCTACTTAAAATCTGTTAGTGCCTTCTCATTGCCTTTGAGATAATTTTTTCTTGTCTTTTAAGTAAGTCTCAATTTCTTAGCCAGGACTTTTCAGGACTGGCCATAAACCTAACTTTCTGGCATTATCTTCTTATAGCATCCACTCCTCCCCGCCTCTAGTTACTATGAAACTATACTGTTTTATTCCTTTCTTTACATTTCTGTACATTTTCTAGGATGTACCTAGTACTACTACAGCCCTTATCGAATTGCCTTGTGGATCTGTTTTAAAGATTTGCTACCCTCAGTAGGCTATGACTTAGTGAAAATCATGGACTGGGCCTCACCTTTTTTTTTAGATTTTATTTATTTTTAGATAGAGAGGAAGAGGGAGGAAGAGAAAGAGAGAAACATCATTGTGTGGCTGCCTCTTACATGCCCCCAACTGGGGACCTGGCCCGTAACCCAGACATGTGCCCTGACTGGGTACTGAACCAGCGACCATTTGGTTCGCAAGCTGATGCTCAGTCCACTGAGCCACACCAGCCAGGGCTCACATTTTTTA